ATTATTTATGAATTAAACGGATGAAATTATTAAACAAGTATATACTGATTTTAATTTTGCTTTTTTCTTAGTATTGCTTAAAGAAGCTGGGTATATACTCTTAATAGTGCTTGCATCATATTATGATGGCATTAAACGAAGAAAAAAAAAGAGTCACGGGTCCTCGAAGAGTTCGAATCACTTTGCCTAATTTCAATTTTATCGCATAAATTTTCCATCGAATCCGCGTATATCGGGCACTATGTATTCAAGGCGGGAAAACTAGCTCCTGAAATAAATATATAGGTATTGTAATATCATAGTTTAGGGGTTATTAACTGCCGTCTACATATAATAATTAAAAGGAAGATTATTATCATTATTCATTATAAATATCATTATTAAAATTAACTTCCGTAGCGTAAGGAAATTGTCGCTGCGTTCGAATTCGACCAGGTAAATACCATGATCACTTAGTGGAAAATTTTATTAACCGACCCACATAAACAAACCATAAATAAAACTGAAACGCGGGCACAATCTGGTTATGATATAAACAGGGAAAACTCGTGGCTGGTAAATGGATTGCAAAAAAATGCGTTAAAAATTACAACATGGAATTAAAATTGTATAAATTATAGAAATATCTGTATTGAAATATTTTATGGTTCTGATACAGAAGATGGTTCAAAGAGAAAATTAGTTCTATAGTTCTGTCTATACACATTCTAGTACTTACCGTGTAGTGGCGTTGTAAGAATATCTACTATCACATATCGTCCCGTGGGTGACGTAAGAAGTGACAGTGGGAAACAAGTCAGGAGATGGGCAGCAGCGTCTTCCTAATAACGACTAAAAAAAATGTGGTGGCAATCTATGGGGGAGGCATATGTTCAGCAGTGGACTTTACATAGTGTACATATGCTAGAAAAGGACGGAATGGGATTCACGGAAAACCTAAGTGTAAGACTAAAATGAGATTTTAGTGTCGTTCTGTAACGTCTAATTACTCACTTAACACTTTTTCATCTTGAAAATTAACTGTTAATGTACACTGTTAAAATTTATTCTTATTAATTTACAAAGGAAAAGCGGCTATTTTGAAATCCGAACAAACTACATACGTATTACGAAATTATTATCCATACTTCATTAACATGTTCTCTTGTCATGTAATACGCGTTAAGTGGCAGAATTTGAAAGGTTAGTAGGTAGATTTGCATTGTCTAACACTGTCTGTTTGTTCAGCAAACTGCGCTTTCTGTATTTTTTATAAAGCAGTGCTTGACTACTATCCCATTAGTCATTCATTATTATTACAGCCTGTCCATTGCTAAATATAGCCCTCCTCCATAGATCCTCATAGGAGGATATTTGCCATAGTTGCTACTCTTGGCAAGCGGGTTGAAAACCAAAGTCTCATAATTTTGAGTTGTTTTCAGGAAAATGCTGCTGCCCATCTCCTGTTTCAGTTACATTGTCGCCTCTGGTGATGTAGCCGTAGAATGTAAAGTGCACTAACTTAGTTTCTGCAAGTATATTATTTTATAAATTGGCGACGTCACCTACAAATATCGAAAACGGCATGATCATGCTTAATAACATAGAAATACATACATTGCTTTACTTTAATTGATAGAATTAGGCGTTACTTTGCGGAAATCCATTATAATGGGGTTATTAAAAATTAATTTGCTTAATTCCACGTAAAGAAAGAAAATGACGTGTCCTGCCCAGTTTTAAGGGGAGGACATCCCACCCGCCCTCAATCGCGCGCACTATACCCGTCGCCGTCAATCCCAGAACTACCATCCCCAGCACTGATTGGATTTGATTGGATCTGGGATTGACGGCGACGGGTATAGTGCGCGTGATTGAGGGAGGGTGGGAGGTCCCCTTAAAACTGGGCAGGACACATCATTTTCTTTCTTTACGCGGAATTAAGCAAATTAATTTATAACATTTATAACTTATTAGTGAATATTTAACAAAACGTGCAAAGTAAAATTCAGAAGCTCTTTAATGAAGTGTTTATCCAAATATTTATAAACAAAATGATTCCAACAATCCAAACAAACCCTCTGATTCTGATATCAAAGCTGGCCTTGCAATATGGAGATTATAATTCTAAGACTTATCGTCTATTTTGAATGGGTTTTAAGAGTTGCTGCAATAATTCGTGGACCAGTCCATTCATTCTAAATTCTAACAAAGAGGTCAAGATCATGCATTAGATGCGCCAGCTATGCGTTCCTTTCTTTAGTTCGTTTCGCGGCTGACTAGTTTTCTTTTGTAAGAAATCGTGCCGTGCATTTAAATAGCACATTGAGTTTTCTTAGTTAACGAGGTGAATGCTAACATGCGAAGGGATCTATGACGTTACTATTCTGGAACCTTAACTTACGACTTATGATATAGATATATAGGGAGTTACAATCTACCGCGGATGTGGGTAAAGAATAAATTATAGTAGGTAATAATATTAGTACCTATCATAGGCAGGGGCGAAACAATTTGAGGTGCAGCTGTATTTTAAAAGGCGAATGTAACCCAATATCAATTACGATTTCTAATAACAAAAATATATAATTTTTTTATTGCTTCATACATATTTTACAAGTAGATCTTTTTCAATAATTTTAAATCAAATATCGAGCTGAAGCTTAAACGTCATTAACCCTTTCCCTCTACCATGAATATTTAATGGACAATTCAATTGTTTAACTGTTATGTCTGTTTTTTTTTTCTCTTTTTTTGGATCACTAACAGATGATACAAAATACTAACAAAAATATAATTCATCACTGCGACGATACAGGAGAAAAATGCTTATCCCTCATCTCTAGTGTGGGGGTAACGTATTTTAAAAAATAAAAAAGAATAAAGAAAAAGTACGTATTATTTTAGTCTTTTTTATTAATAGCTAATTTTAGGTAACAAAATATTATCATATTGAAAAGAACGCAGTGGCAAACAGAATCACACTAGCGCACTGCAGATTGCGGTGTAGTGGCGGTTAAGTATATCCACTACCCCAAATCTTCCCGTGGGTGTTCTAACAGGCGACAGTGGGAACCTGGCAGCAGTTGGGCAGCGTCTTCCTGATGATAACAATATTATAATAAAAAAACTGCGGTTGCCAACTCGCTCGCCAAGGCTACGGCTCTCAGTCCCCGGCGGCCCCGCTATTCCTGGCTACGGTCGCAACCATGGTAACAGTGGGGCAGGGGGTGGAAAGAATCTCCGGTGGAGGTTCGGTTGCCACCTAAGACGACTCGACCTGGCAGCATACAACGCATGCACCCTGAGGTCTGACGAGAAGATCCTGGAGCTGGAAGAAGAGATAGACAAATTGCGCTGGGATATTATAGGATTATCCGAAGAGAGGGGGAGCACACGGTAATTCTCAAATCCGGCAACTTGTTCTATCACCGGAAGGGTGACCATCTGTCACCAGGGTGAAGACCTCCTTGGATTTATCGTCCACAAGTCTCTCGTTAACAACGTTGTAAAGATTGTGAGTGTTTCGACGAGGGTTGCGTATCTTATACTCAGAATCACCAAACAGTATTCGTTGAAGGTCATACAGGTTTACCCACCCACCTCGGCACATCCCCATGTGAAGGTGGAGAAAATGTTTATCTCTAAAGCCATGCATTCCTCCAAAACTCACTATCCGGTGTTAATGGGAGACTTCAACCCAAAATTAGGCACTAGAGAGAACGGTGAGCTGAAGGTAGGGAAATTGGGAATAGGGCAACGGAACCCAAGGGGCCAGCAGCTGTCCGACTTCATGGAGAAAGAGGGACTCTTTATGATGATCTCTTTCTTCCAAAAGGGGCCCTACAGGAAATGGACCTGGTCGAGCCCCGACGGTTCGACAAAAAATGAGATCGACTTCATTATGACGACTAGACGCCAACTGTTTAGTGATGTCTCAGTAGTGTCTCCCAACGGATAGGTCTTAAGATGAGCATGCCCAAAGCAAAGATCATGTGTAATGTCCATGTCACACCTATGCCGGTAGTTGTTGGGAGCACTAAGCTCGAAGTTGTTGACAAGTATGTTTACCTGGGACAAATAGTTCGACTAGGTAAGTCCAACTTCGACCGAGAGGTCAATCGACGGATTCAACTCGGCTGGGCAGCGTTCGAGAAATTAAGACACATCTTGTTGTCAGGTATACCTCAAAACCTGAGAACGACATTGTAAAACCAGTGCGTGTTGCCAGTGGTGACTTAGGGATCTGAGACGTGGTCCTTCACTGCTGGCCGTATGAGGACGCTCAAGGTCGCTCAGCGAGCTATGGAGAGGGCTATGCTAGGGGTTTCTTCGCATGATAAACTTAGGAATGTGGATATCCGCAGTAGAACCAGGGTGACCGACATAGATTAGACAACGGATTAGTAAGCTGAAGTGGTAATGGGCCGGCCATATAGCTCGAAGAACCCAGATGACTGTAGATTGGTGAGTGCGGAGCTGATACTTCCGCACTGGTAGTTTTGCTCATCACCAATCTCTCAAATTTATATAAGTACAGGGAGAGTTTTGGAAGGAATTGACCGCTGGCTGATTACTGCTCTTCATTATTTAAATAGTTTAAAGTGGATTTTGATTCGCATATAAATTGCGACGAAATAAGTGCTCCGAAGTTAACATAAACGTCAAGTTATTTTGTCGCCTCAATACATTCACTGTTCGGTTTCAGATACAATATAAGACAATAGCAACGTATCATATGTGGCTCATGGGACAGGGAATGGGTTTAAGATGCCGACAAAACATCACAATATGGCGCATTAACATATCGTGTAGAAACTTGTTAACATTTACATATTTTCCGTAAGATATAAATATAAATTTTGGCTGAAGGCCTTGTAGCCAATGTCACGATAAATTAAAAAAATTAAGGCTAGGGTTTCTGGGCTGATTTCCCGGCTACAGTCGGTTAACAAAGCGTATTTCCTATATCAGAAGGGAGCGCCTTTCTTTTTACTTTAACATTATCTTTTATATTACAGAGTGGAAGCTTCCCGGCTCACAGTCCTCGTAGGAGAATACGACGTAAACAACTCGCTCTCTGATGGCATCCAGGTGTCGCACGTCACTCAGCACCCGGACTTCAACCGGTTTACGTACGACAACGATATCGCGGTGCTACGCCTGGCTGACCCCATCCCCGACAATTTGTACAGACCAGCATGTTTGCCTGGTAAGTACAATCGAACTGTGTCTTTATTGTCTCTCAGAGTCAGAGCTGTATAAAATAAGTTAATATACGTCAACTTGAGCTGAGAGGTCTACAGCTGAGAGGTCTATCGGCGGATTCAACTCGGTTGGGCAATAAAGATTTTTTATATTTACGCGAACACTATACATTTAAATAAAACTAGTTTTACGGATTTTATCGCGTATATTAACTTATTTTATACTAGCTGTTCCTCGCGACTTCGCTCGCGTGTAATTTAGGGTTTTAATTTTGTTGCGCGGAACCCTAATTATTTTTCAAAAATATAAGTAGCCTAAGTTATTCCTTATAACATGAGCTATCTACCAGTAAAAGTCCCGTCAAAATTGGTCCAGCTGTTTCGGAGATTAGCCGGAACAAACAGACAGACAGACAGACAGACGGACAGACATGACAGACCATGTATACTTTTATATCCAATTAGTAAAAAGCTGTTATTTTGACATTACAAACAGACACTTCAATTTTATTTATTTTGTATAGATTCTCGAAACTTTTCGAGTACTTTACAGCACCCATGGTTACGGGGGGGAGGGGGGGGGCTCAGAGTCAGAGCTGTATAAAATAAGTTAATATACGCTGGGCAATGTTCGGGAGATTACAACACATCTTGTCGTCACTTTTACCTCAAAACTTGTCAACAAGACTGTATAACCAGTGTGTGTTGCCAGTGATAACATAGAGATCGTTGTCCTTCACTGCTGGACGAATGAGGAAGCTCAAAATCGCTCAGCGAGCTACGAAGAAGGCTATACTTGGAGTTTCTCGGCGTCATAGACTTAAAATAATGTAGTAGAAAGTACCACCGCAGTAGAACGAGAGTATCCGATATAACCCAAGATCAGTAAGCTGACGTGGTAATAGGCCGGTCTAGTTCGAAGAATAGCTAACCGATGGGAAAGAAAGGTTCTCGAGTAGCAGTTTCAAATCGCTCAACACTAGACCTGGTAAGAGATGCCGAAAGGCGATGGATGCGGGTGACTCAGGACTGTTCCTTGGGGAGGTCTATGATCAGCAGTGGACTTACGAAGTTCTGTACTTCCTATTAGTTTGTGCTTTCATACATTCTGGATACGTTATAAACTTGACTGGGTGATATATTTTTCAACAAAGGCATTGAAATTTTGATACATTTTTTATAGGATAAGGGTGACAAACTGGCACACAGTCTACCTGATGGTAAGTGGTTGCTGTGCCCATAGACATCTACATCTATCCTCGATTACGAATCAAAATACAGATACGTTGTCACCCGTGAGGACTAAGATGGAATGCCTCGTTTCCAGTAAAAAGGGTCTCCGTTTCTCGATACTCACCATACGAAACACTGCAGTGTTACGCTGCTATATTACGCTGGTATTCTGTGAAGGCGTAGTCCTTTCCCGGTCGAGCCGACACATTCCTGCAACAGCTATACTACTAATATAGCTACAGCATGGCTCTACCACGTTAAATACATTTTTAAAAGCTTTTTATTTAACTTCACTTGTATTATGTATGTCCTCGAATTTTCAATCAATATTTTTATTTAACTTGTTTAAGCACGTTGACTACCTTAAATTGATTAAAGATAAAATGCTAAGATCCTCCTAAGCTCATGGCCCTCTCGGGTCGCCCCTTCCAGCTGATCTTACGCCACTGATCATAATGTTGCTAGCATTTTATAAAAAATGGAAACAAATTAATTTTACTGTAGTTACCACGTTCTAACACTATATTTAAACTATACAATAAAGAAAGAAATGTTTGTTGTTGTTTGTAATAATATGTAAGTTATTTTATTAGGCGGAAATGGGTTTCCCTTTAGCGAAATGTTTACAGCATCTAAATTATATTTTTATCTACGATCAATCATCGCTCCAAATCAGAGGGAATTTTTGTAACGTTATAATAGCATTAAAATGAGTTCATAACGCTTCGAGCTATAATTAATTCTTGAACCTCATTTTTAATTAACATGCTTTAACGGAATTTGATTAATTTATTGCAACTTGTGCGGATTTTAATGAGTAAATAATATTGAAAACTGGTCAACATTAAAAGTGTGATACGAGATTTGGGAAGACTTTTTTTATTTTGTTTTAGTTTTAAAACAGTAAATCATCGTAATTAAAATGTCTTAAAAAATACACACTACTTGATAAATAAAAAATAACACTTGAAATCATCCACTGTTGAATTTGGTAACTATTAATCATATCTGTTACGTGATAAAGCCATGCTGTAGCTGTACATAGTAGTAGCATGAATGGATCGGTTTCACCGAGGAAGGACCTGGCTCTTACATAGCAGCGTAAAACAGCAGCATAATGCTGCCGTGTTTTGTATGGTGAGTGTAGAGAACCTTTTTTACTGGAAACAAGGCATTCCATCTTAATCCTCAGGGGTGTCAATGCATCTGCACTTTGATTTTTAATTTAGGATATACTCGAATGTCTATGGCCCAGACCATCCTCATACCATCAGAAGGACTGTGTGCTCGCTTGTCACCCTTATTCTATAAAAAAAGATCTCACGTATAGCTGTTAAGGTAGAAACAAAATGCCACCCCATCTAATGTTCTCGCACTCGACGTTTACTGCCCAATACTCGACGTTACGACACCGCCACGCTTCATGCAAGTTTGTTTAAAATACTTGCTATATAGCTATATACTGAGCATAAAATTCTTGTACTAGGTGTGGTTTACGACAGGTGATACTTATTTCTTTGAAATACTAGCTATGTCGATAACACTACAAATAATCCCGTTAATCATGCCTACTGAGCATAAAATGCTCGTACTAGGTGTGGTTTACGAGTTTACGACAGCAATCTAATGGCGGACTTAAACTCGACGACCTTTTACTTTCGCAATCCATATTCTTAACCATTAAGTCGATACTGTCACTTCAAATATGCACGTAAACCATGTATTTATATTTCTTCAGTAAAGAAACGAAGAGAAACATTTCATGAAAAGAAATGATATTAAAATATTTTAGATGAAAGTTGAACCGACGTTACATATATATAGTGGAAAATGCGACCCCACCTAATAAAACCCACCTCTTACTTAATCATATTAAATCCAATTATTTTGTGTGACCATATACGTACTCGGAACACCAACCGCACCACAAAATGCATTGAATCTAGATTGAGGGTATTGCCGTTACATATTTTCCCGGTACCACAGAATAGTACAAGCCGGTACCTACATGTAGTTAGCTTAGATCATTTAATGAAGTTATACTTTGTTTGCGTGTGACATTAAGTCGGTAAATATTTGGAACGCAATTTTAGCTGGAACTTGAAAACCGCTGGATGCTCCTGTATTACCGTGTTGTCATTTTGATACGTAAATGTGGCGTAATTTTATGTATCAAAAAGATTTTGATAGTGATATTTCAAGACACTATCTTCATGGACTAACAACGTTGCAATTTAGTGTATCAATATATAATATGACATGACTTTCTATGCCTTATATTGTTACCAATACCGCGATAAATGAAAAAAAAATGTATTTATAACTACATGTTTTCACGTGCAATATTGCTTTTAAATATCATTGACTTTCATGTATATAATAATAATATAATAATAATATTCCACAACTATCAAACAACGCCATCTAGTCCCAAGCTAAGCAGAGCTTGTGTCATGGGTACTAGACAACTGATAAACATACTTATATATTTCTAAATACATAAATATTATAGATAAATTACACCCAGACACAGAACAAATGATCGTGCTCATCACACAAACATTTGTCCTGGGTGGGAATCGAACCCACGACCTCCGGCGTAGCAGTCAGGGTCACTAACCACTAGACCAACAGGCCAGTCTTGTGTTGCCATGCAGCCATGTATTGTTCTAAATTAGAACTTCTAATTCGTCATCATATCCATTGAGAATACATAAGACCACCCATCGCATACTTCGTTTATACGTAACATACGTTTTATAATAATGTGTAATAAAGAATATGAAATAAATAAAACCCAACGTTTACGTGCATGTTCCTTCCCTCTTTCAAAACCACCCAACGTCAACTTTTGTGTGTGTTTGTTGTGTGCAACACTGCCAAAACCAAGGAACCAATAACGTTATCCAACGTTCTATTTCCTCTGCGAACATGAAGATCACTACTTACGTCGTCCGATAATTTTCTGTTGACTTTTCAGACTTCGATGACGACAACAAACTTGAAGGTGTCGAAGCTATAGTGTCAGGTTGGGGAAGCACAATAGAAAAAGGACCACCGTCAAATATCCCTATGAAGGTGGGTAATGTTTCAGAAGATACTTTGTTTTAATAAAATTTATTTAAGTTATATTATATTAATGGTAATACAAATACATTTTACACGAGACTTTGTTCGAAAAGACAACCGTCGTGGCGGGAAGGGGAACAAAAATTTATATTTTAAAATAATTCTTTAAAATCCAGTAAGTTCTTAGAACCAGTTAAGGCGTATATAAACTAAGTATATTTTATTTTACGCGGTAAAACCAGAGTAACCGTTATAGCCGAATTAGTAATTGGCCGGCCATATAGCTCGATGAACCGACAACCAATGGGGAAGAAAGGTAATCGAGTGACATTTACAACCTGGTGCCGGTAAGCGAAGTGTAAGGCGGCCCCCTATTAGATTGAGCGACAACCTGGTAAGATATACAGGAAGTTGATGGACACAGGTGGCTCAGGACCGTGCTATGTGGCATACCTTAGAGGAGGCCTGTGTTCAGCAGTGGACGTGTGAAGGGCTTTAATGATATTCATCATGAATATTTTTTTACCCAACTGCTCAGGATAGTGTTTTTCGATAGTTTGTATGTATGTAAGTACTCGTATATTTCTTTGGCACGCATTGTAATTGTTGCTTGATGTATTTTAACATATGAGATGTCGTTAGATTTGTCTTAATTGAAGGAATTACAGACTACGTATATAATATTTAGATATTGCATCTGCTAATACAAAAAAGGGGTAGGAGGGTTTTTTTTTTCAATAAAATTTTTAACGAAGTCAGGTTTGTTTATTACTGTTTTAACAATTAAGCCTATACAGTATAAAACTTATAATTGACCTTCTGTGACCACTTCGTAAGACAACAATAACGCACTAAGAAATTTCAGCGCCCTCGCAAACGACGTCGGTTCCCTTTTCACACAGATATCACGTAATTTTTTTCCCCTCTTACTGGTACTCTAATGTTAGTAATGATTAGGCGGAGGTTAACATTTGGGCGCAAGAGGAGTGCACGGGAGCTGGCTATGGGCGAAGAAAAGTTACGCCAAGAATGCTCTGCGCGAACGCCCCAGAGAAAGATTCTTGTACCGGTGACTCCGGTGGTCCATTACTACTTCCGCGACCGCACTTTACTATTGTTGGTAAGTTCATTTAATAAAAACTCGAATCATCACCGTCAAATAAACATAAACAAATAAGTACGATATTTTTCAAAGACTTCTTTATATATTACTAGGCGGCCTCTGCGAACCCGACACATTGCGCTTTAAGGTGGAAGCTCCAGGGTGGGCCGCGAAATTCAAATTTTCTTACGTTTTTTAGAATTTGCAGGTCAGGGTCAGGTTGTATGTTTAACAAAATCTGATTCGCGACCGTAACGGATATGTGTTTACAAAATTATTATCATTAAAATCACCAATACAACCCTCTTAGTTCATATAATCCCTTTGAATGAGTTTTTCTGGAAATAGCCATACAATGGGATTATACGAAAATAGAGGGTTGTATTGATGATTATAATTATTATAATTATGTAAATACATACTCGTTACAGCCGCAAATCATATTTTGTTAAACATACAACTTGACACTGACCTACCAATTGCAAAAAACGTAAGAAATTTTGAATTTCGCGGGTTACCCTGGCGCTTTCAGTCAATTTTCCGTAACTCCTTTAGTCTAACTGCTCTCGGTAGAGAGTAATTGTGTTCTGTGGTCGACTGCGAGCAGGCAAGAAGACTAGTTCTTTGTTTAGTAAACCCAGAACGTCGTTTCCACAATCTAACACTGATTTTGTTTAATATAACTAATATACCGCGGTTATTATTTATGTGCGCGCTTGGTCAACGTGATTTGAAGTTTATTTCAGACAAGTATTTAACTTTAACTTGCGTGGAAAATTTACCGTGCCCGTCCTCGCTCTCCACAACTGTGACGCAGTTTTTGTTCTGAACTGTCGATCTAGTAGTCCACATAGAAGTCTTAGTGTTTTTATTTTCTTTCGATATGTATATTGTTAGCAATAGCAACTTTATAATATAATTTCTTAATTTTGTGATGCGGGCCAAAACCATTTACCATTTATACATTATGTCTCTTCTTTATAAGCCTTTTGAATACTGTTACAATAAGGCACCAAATGAATTCTTCAAAGGCAAGTTGTTGAACGTATGTCGATACCAGTCTGCGGCATTTGGATTCCTTGATTGAGCCTCTCTCGATATATAGGGTAGATTTGTCGTAATTGTTACTGATGATCAAGTACCAGAATATTATGCACTTTTGACATTGCAACTCGTCGCTGATCTGGATATTCTACGCCTGTCGCAAGACAGCTATCGAAAGCTATAAGATCATTCTGGCATTATTCTAGTCGCCTAATAATAATAGTAATGTCCTCCAGAGTCAACAGAGACTAGGCAACGGAGCAGGACAGGATTAGAGTGCCCAATAAGTATATGCGCAAGCACGAGTGCACTCTCTATTCACACGACCGGAGAGAGATCAGGCGCAGGACCACAACGGCTTTACGTGCTATCCGAGGCACGGGGGTGAGACACCGCCCACTTCCTTACTCCGGGCAGCTACTGAGAATTTTTTGATGGAAAAGCTCAATAACTGATTTTTTTTGCCCGACCCGGGATTCGAACCCGGGACCTCATGATCAGCAGTCGCACTACTACAACCACTAGACCAACGAGACAGTCACGAGGTAGTCTACTACTACATTAACTAAACAAAATGTAGTGATAGATTATCTTACAACGCATTACACGACCACACATACGACCTACACATGAAATATTAATAAAACGATTTGATATTTTACAGGTATCGTATCTTGGGGACGCGGTTGTGCAAGACAAGGCTACCCCGGAGTGTATGCACGTGTAGCCAAATTCTTGCCATGGCTAAAATTGGCTTTACGTCATGCTTGCACGTGTTTACCGCCGACTCACTGATAAAATTCGAGGCTCTTAAGACTTAATAGTAAAGCTTATTATTTAACAATTTTGTAGTAGATACAATGTGAAAATTTATTTATTTAGAGAACCCAGAACACAAGCGAAAATATAATGATGTAACTAAGTCTATATATGTATGTAAACTTTTGTAAGAAGATTGAAGTTTTTGAAGTTGTTTGGGTGTTTGTAAGTCATCAACGTCTAAAAGGATTTGGATTAAATCCAGCAGACAGGTAAACTAGCTCCTGGATATTTTACCAATGGAAAATTTAAATCACCGCGGTAAAAGTAACATGTAAACGTTACTGTTTCCACGCAGATGGTAACAATAATGTTGCACAAAGCAGAAAGATTCAAAGAAAGTTAGGTGCAGAAGCTAGTTGCAAATGTTTACCAAATTCGGCAATATACTCTTTAGAGGGTATACCGGCAGAAAAAAATAAAGAACAGGGTTTTTAATGACCTATTGCGGTCGCGCCCAAACAAGTGAAAAAGACCACCGAGAGAAAACTGCAGCTCGGTCTAATTACACCAATTAATTTAAATTATGAAAAATTGACGAAATACGTAATCCCGTTTCCTCAAAAACTGAATCGATATTAAATTTAAAAAAACGCAATTTATGAAGGTAATAATGATTTATTATATTTAGTATACGAATTCTACACTACACATTAAATACAACGAATTTTACGAATTTCATCCCGTTTATTAAATAAAAATTAACCGTTAGGTAAATTTATTTGCGAGTTGTCACATAACGGTGTTATGCTGGCCTAATCATTTTAGAAAGTTGCCAGTTTTTTAAATTACTATTTTAGGAAAATAAAAACATATGAACATGGCAATGTAAATATAAAGTTTATAGTAAAAAAATATTTGCTTTAAATTCGTTCGTTATTCAGGGACAAAACAGAGGAATACGTTTATATGGACTAAACGCCGCTAGGATATCCTTTTAAATAAGTTTAAATAGCGCATAATAATTATGTAGTTTACATATCAGTATTAAGTAGATTTAAAAGTATTAATCTATAAAATAATGTCTAATTAGTTTAATAAAATGGCTGTGACTAGTTGTATCTAATTATACTTTATGATTTCCTGCAAATATTGTTACCATTTAATTAATAATTTATTATAGTACACATGTTGAAATTTGATGTAACCATTGTTTATTTAATACATGTTTTGTTTTTTGGAACTTAAAATATATTTATTCATACGAAGAGTCCATTTTATTTTATCCTTCAATCGATTTACACACACATATATATACTAGCTGACCAGGTAGACGTTAGTCTGCCCTTTCCGACGACCATTTGCTTTCCTAAAAAAAAACTCCTAAGATTAGCAATAAAAAAATTGAGGGTCACTTATTGGGATGAAAACTATCCTATCTCTCAAGTTGGACCAAACTGCACACAGTGTGCAAAATTTCATTGAAATCAGTTCAGTAGTTTAAGGTGACACTAGTCGACAATATTTCCATACAAATTTCGGAGGGGTTTTACTACGCTGTTTGACAGTGTACATCCAAAGTTAAACATGATATCGTTTTGTCTCATTATTAAATTTGTCTGTACGGAAACAGAATAGTAAAATAAAATGTTATTAAAAAGTTACGGGCTACCAAAGATTCGTTTTTATTGCCAATTTTAACACAACTTTGGGCGTAAATTAGTAATAAAAGAAGTGTAAAATTTCCAAAACAAAGTCGGTACCGACACAGCTCAATTATCGAAGAATGCAATAAATTTTATTCGTAATTGATTTATGCAGTGGTTTTTTCATAAAACCCCTTCTTCCAAAGGCCTTTTCGTATTTTTTTACGCGCGTATGTTACTATGAATTATCGTGCATCTCACTGAATAATGTTTCCCCCGGTGCGGTGCGGGAGGACGACGCTTACACACACATGCACGGGCGGTGACGCACGCTTATTCGAGTTTTATTCGAAACGAAAAGTTTTGCTATTTTGTAATTTGGACGCCAAAGACAAAAGACAGCATGGAAATTGATATAATTGAAAGAGATGAATGATGCGTTTTGGACGACAGACAATATTGTAAAATTTTCGTCTGTAATATAATATAATTATAAAAGTAAAAAAAGTAAAGTCTATATACGATTACTATATAAAATTGCAACAATTTCATTGGTGCCGACGGGGATCGAACCCGGGTTGCTCGCGTAATGTGATACTTACGGCGAGCGCTAACCATCTGAGCTACCACGGCTCTCAATGCAAGTGTTATAAATGAATAAAGAATTACAAAACAGTTTAATTATTTATTAGACGACTCTTGCGGCGGACAAACAAGGTACATTATGTGGGATTTTCATAGGTACCTACTGTTATTACCTAGATACCTACAACCTACAACCTACAATACAACAAAATGTCACAAAACGTCACCGCGTCGTGGCCACAAAATTGTAAACTTTAGGTAGGTACGTCAGTACTAAGAAAACAATCTTGATGGGTCACTTGTCTTGATAAAAACCTGTGTTTACATTTAGTGATATTGAGTATATATAAAAAAGTAAGAAGTCAGGTAAGTATTTTTGAAAACAATTTATAGGTAGGCAGAACTAATTACAATTACCTATTATCTAAATATTATAAATGCGAAAGTTTGGATATTTGGATGGACGGATGAATGGATGTATGTTACTCAATCACACCAGAACCGCTGAAGGGACCTGGATGATATTTTGCTCAGAGATAGGTTATAGTCTGGAATTTTATTATTTTTTTTATTTTTTAAAAAAACGTTACCCCCACACTAGGATTTTCTCCTGTATCGTGGAGGCAGTTTACAAACATCCAGACCCGGAACAACTATTTGCAGGCCATACAAATACTTGTTCCGTGCGGGATTCGAACCCGCGGCTGCCAGTGCAACAATTCATTGCTAAGCAACTGCGCCACGGAGCTGTAAATAACATATATGATACCGTTTATTCAGGTATTTCGTTCCCGTTGGATAATTTTTGCAGTTATACACGTTCGAAGCCGAACTCTTGAGTGATCGCTGCATGACCACTCGGGAAAAACTAAACATAATAAAGTAAGCAATCTATATTAGGTATATAGAGCCACAGAGGTATAACATGAAGCGATAAAGCAGCGCCTAATAATTTCGCGGTTTCACCCGCGTCATCACGTGTCCGAGATGCGTGGCATGACATGACACCTAGTTCAAGCATTTTATAATTGCAATCAAATATTTTATTTAATAATAATGTATAGAAAAATTGTCATAATTAATGGGGTACTTTTATTTTATCTGTCGGCATACTATGCGCGGTTTTATCCAGTTTTAAAGAAAAACGTACACGATACATGAAAGTGTGTAGGCAAGAAATGATTCTTGATAAATTTTCTATCAACCTCTTATACTTATTAATCAATTAAACTTTCAAAATACCATAGCAACGTGAAATGAAAGAGTTCAGAAATAAAGATGTAACTAATCATTGTTACGCTCACCTGGGAGATAGATAAAAGCACTCAGTTAATTTTGAATTTATTTTAGCTACCAGCTGTTTCCCGCGACTTCGTCCGCATTTAGTTTAGGGTGTTAATTTTGTTGCACGGACACCTAATAATTTTTCTAAAATTTAAGCAGTCTAAGTTACTTCTTATAACATGAGCTATCTACTAGTGAAAGTCCCGTCAAAATCGGTCCAGCCGTTTTGGAAATTAACCGGAACAAACAGACTGACAGACATACAAAAATGTTAAAAATTATGTTAATGTTATAAGTAGCGTATATAATTTCATATGCAATTAGTAAAAAGCTGTTATTTTGACATTACAAACAGACACTTCAATTTTATTTATTTGTGTAGATATAGATAATGATTGAACTAACGGCTAACCTAACCTCGCTCATAGAAGCTTTCAATACTGGCTTCTCAGTTCGCACCGGGCTAGGCTAGGGGTTATGCGTTGTTTGCGCGTCAAGGCCAAGTATTGAATTATTTTAATTTTACATTATCTCTTAACCTATGTACTATATAAACATGGTATAAGGAACGAACTTTATCTTCAAAAAATTGTCTTGATAATGAAGTAACTTTCGTTCGTAAGGATAAATATGTCATGCCTAATAATTAAATTTTCTTTTTTTTTTGTCAAAATCAAAATGCCTAATTGTAGCTTATATATAAAAAATAGACATATGGTATCGCGGACTTTTTTTAGACGGAGTAAAGATCTATATTTTCTGCTTTATTATATTAGTATAGATGTTGCATCGTGTTCGTGTAACTTCGTTTTTGTTCAAACGGTTCGGAACGCCGTACGAACAAGACATGCGTAAATACTAGTGTCGATATGCTCATCACTGATACTATCTCTGTCGGGCACGATGCCAGGTGAGACAGCGTGCTTTTTCGCCGCGCCCACCAGCGAGTTCGAGCCCGCGACTTGTGCCACCTTAAGAGTTCATCGCGGACAAACAATGTGACACGTAATTTTTATATATAAAGCTATATATATCGTTGTTATAATAAAGATTACACGTCAAATAATACTTTGCTGTCATCAGTCTGATGTTAGTCGTGTAATCGTTACATATTTAAAAATAATTTAATTTCAAGAAATACTGTAAAATCGCATTTTGAGAAAATTATATTGTCGAAAGATAAGCTCGTACTGCTACGAGCTTACTCGTTACTGACATGGGCAGTGTTAGGCGGGGCCAAATAGATGGAGTAAAATGCCGTAGATCTTTCATTAGGTCTTCAGTATGTGGTTGTAGGTGGCTTAGGACTATTAGTCTGTCTCAATCTATGAAGGAGCCCTATAATCACCAGTTAACTTGTAATGTACTAAAATGATGGAATGTAACAAAATGATAACTTAATCATAATAATGTTATTGTTTTATTTATTTATTTCTATTGAGCAGCTACATAAGCACATTTACTGCCCAGTTTCATTATTTGAGTGCTGAAATAGTATACTGAATCTCTCCGACAAGGAGGCCTAAATATTACTGCAAATTTATTAGTAAAAGCTTTATAATGTATGATAATAATAACGACAAAAACAGAGGAATATCGGACTAAAAACAGATGTATGTAGGTTGGTGCGAGCTTGCCGACTTGGGCGCAATCTTGAAATTTGAGGTCGATTTTCCGCCGCCACTGGCGATCGCCTTGTAAACTCTGCCAAAACATCTTTCACCTCTCTCTATACTTCGAGCATTAGAAAGTCCGTTGCAGGGTTGCACGATTCGCGTATATCCGACATATTCATCGTTTAGATTTGTCTATTGACAGTTGATAATTTATTAGTATTTTTTTATATTGCTGATATTTATTAAGCCGCAAATATATTAACAACAACAGACATCATCCTATGAGCAACGTTACAAAAAATGGCTCCGAGTCTCCGGCGGGCGGACGGTTAGAAATCTCTAGTAGAGATCCGCTTTCCACCTTCGACGACTCGACCTGACAACATTTTACGCATTCACCCTGAGAACTGACGATATTCGAGCTGGAATAAGAGACGGACCAGTTGAACTAGGATATTAGAGGATTATCTGAGGTCAGAAGACAGCTGGAGGACACGATAATCCTCGAGACCCGACTTCTTGCTCTATCCCAAGGAGATATTGGATTTATCGTCCACAAGGGCACTCATTAATAACGGGATCAAAATCAAGAGTGTGCCGACAAGGGTTGAGTATCTTATACCTACCGTACCTCATACATCCAGAGCCATGCATTTCTCCAAAACACAAGATACGCTTTTTATAAGATACTTCAACACAAATGTAACCACAACAAAGGACAGTGAGATAAAAAAGGGAAAATCGGAACAGGGCAACAGCAGCCAAGGTCAAGTTGACTTCGTGAAGAAGACGAGGCTCTTTATGTTGTGAAGTTCACACACCACTTTTATATATTAAAATCTACTTCATAATATTATTAGCAATTTGCCAGCAGCTCGGCAGACATGTTACCGCCAAAATTCATCAATAAAAAAATAAATTTAAAATGTCACTGCCATTGCATTATGATAAATGTTTCCAAGTCCAAGGGCACAAAAACTACGTCCTTTTTCAAAAATGTTTCGTACCCAAAGATATTTGAAATATTATTAACATTTAATTGTACCTATTATGAAGCTGTAAATTTTCATACAAAAAGCGATAACGATTTGTCTTGTTTGTAAAGGTTTACAATTTGCCGTTTCGAGAATAGGCCATTTCTATAATTGACCATTTTGGTCCAAAGCCATTTTATTTAAGAATTAATTTATTATTCATTTGATGAATGTGTTACAAAATTTCTCGGTAAATTTTGTAACAGAAAATAATTTTTTCTAGAAAATAACAATTATTCATTATTTTAAAATTAATAAAAAAGAATATGTACATATTTTAAAAATAACAACTCGAATATATGTACGTACATAATATTTTTAGAATAACAAAACAAATATATGTACATATTTTAGATACGAGAGTAAATGTAGAAACATTTAAAAAATACGAATACAAAATATATATCTGATGGGATTCGAACCACCAGTCATCGCGGAAACGCGGTGCGATGGCGGACAGCGACGCGCTGGACCAATTGTACATTTTACGTCAAGCGTCGACGAGATTCACGCGGTGCATCCCGCAGTGGGCGGGACTACTCGTCCCTTACTTCGTCTACTTCACCCCCTCAAATACATAAAAGTCGTATATTCACCTCGCCTTAACATATATATAAAATGACTGCCGGCACCTGTGATTTCTGATAAAGTGTTGACTACACCTGCAGCTTTTCAAGATTTCGCGTAGTGTATATTGTCTTTGATTTCGGTTTATACATTTCGATATATTTTAAAATGTTGTATCGTTTTTTTCGTCGTCCAACTGTCAGTAAATAAAATTTTGGACCTTATCTTTACATCATGCAATTGATGGTGATCTATCGATATATCGATATTAATCACGCGATATATATCGATACTGTTTAAAAATATAGATTCGATATATTTTTACCCCTTGCCCATCCCTATCTGTGATACGAGTGCATCGGAGTGCATAGACATAGTATCTTATCAATCCTCTATCTACGTACGAGTGCGTCTTTCGTTAATCTGTGGCTATATTTTTTTTGGAGTTTATTGCCTGGTATCTAGACCTTTAGGCCAAACCTGTGGCTATAATTGTGTATAAGTGTTGCCTGGTTCAGTAGGTCGAATATCGGGGCGGATGGTAAAAATAATCGAAAATTTGGTTTACAAATCTAATAAATTTAAAAAAAAAAACAGGTTTTGTAGCCATTTTGGCCGACGTGAGTGATACTTACACTTTTTAACTAAACAAATTCATTGGGCTAAAAAAGAATAAAATCTATTTTCAATAGCCATTTTAAACAAATAATAAAAAAGTACATAAAAATTTCATTGGGTTACAGGTAAAATACAAATTTTATTTGTGGGACGCTTTATTAACGAATTCTTGCACATAACCGTGACCACCTTCGAGATTCCATCCTGACCTGGATGTTCTTCAACTATTTTACCATAAAGCCAACGACATGGGGGGAGACCGTCCTCCTTAATCAAAACAATATCCCCTATTTTCGGCTGTGGTATTCGGGTTGACCATCGGTATCTATGAAAAAATTGATTTAAGTACTCTCTTGACCATTTGCGCAAAAATTCTTGACTCATGCGTTGAGTGTATTGCCATCGCCTGAGAGAACTTACGTTAGACGTCTCATAATTATGATCTGGGGCCATCACTAAAGGTTCGCCAATTAAAAAATACCCTGGTGTCAAGACGTCAATGTTCTCATGGTCTGCGTCTAGTCTTGAGAGGGGTCTCGAATTGAGACAAGCCTCAATTTGTGCTAAGACTGTTGCCATCTCTTCGTAAGTCAAAGTAGACGTACCGATAACGCGTTTAAGATGCGTTTTCGTGGATTTGATACCGGCTTCCCACAGTCCACCAGAGTTGAGCGCGTATAAAATACGCGGCGCGGCGGAATAAAATGCCAGGTACTGTTATTGGTTGCCAAGATTTCAGCTATATCGGGTAAAATACCAGATTTTTTCCTGCGAAAACAACCGTTTGAGCTCCGCTGAACTCCCAACAAAATTGGTACCATTGTCGCTCCAAATGTCCTGACAATGACCTCTCCGTGCGACAAACCTCTTAAAAGTCTGAAGAAAACCTTGTGTTGTAAGGTCACTTACGGCCTCTAGGTGCACAGCCTTTGTACACATGCACACGAATAGGCAAATGTACCCTTTGTACGATCGATGTCCACGACCTTTTGCAGAACGCATTTGTATGGAACCCGCAAAATCAACTCCGCTACGCGAAAATGGACGAGCCGGAGTTACCCTCACTGTAGGTAATCGTTCCATGAGCTGATTTTGAGTATGTCCGTTGTTTTTTACACAAATGACACACTTTTTTATGTGCGCCCTTACTAACTGCTTATCCCCTATTATAAAATATTTGTTTCTAATGTAATTGATTGTTAATTGTGAACCTCCATGCAATGTTTGTTTATGTGCATCAGCAATAATTAACTCTGTTAACTTCGATTTCTTTGCCATTATTATAGGATGCTTTCTACTGTGTTCTAATCTTGTATTCTCCAATCTTCCTCCAACTCTTAAAATCTTTACTTCATCTAGTATCGGTGTTAAAGCTTTTAATGCACTGTTCTTTTTAATTTCTTCTCTTATAATTATAGCCTTGATCTCTTCACTGAAATTATTTTCTTGATCTTTACGTATGCAGGCTTCTAACGCTTCTTTTAATTCTTCCGTCTTTAAATAATCTTTATTTCTTTTACACTTAGGTTTATTCCTTTGTAAAATTTTTCTGCAATACGCTATTACTCTTATCATTCTCCTTAATGACGAAAATCTTTCCCAAATTTCTTCTTCCGTCTTCACACAATGAACTTTAACAGCTGTTCAGATGACATCGCCATCTATCTCATACCATGTACAACAAACTAGCGACATCTAGATCGCCCGTACTGTAACTAGGAAGTAACCTAACCATTGTATCGATCACAGAGTGTGTTAGTTATAGAACCTAAGCAATTAGTTCCATTGTAATACCGCTGAGGGCGCTGTACGAGACTATAAATATGAAGAGCCTTGCCAAGGCTCGTCCATTTTGATCGATTGCACAACAATAAAACATATATTCCAAGAGATCGCAGTCTTTGCTGTAACATATTTTTTGGTGACCCCTACTGCAAGAAGGGCAAAAACGCAGAGGCCAAGCAGATATCCACAAGGAGAAGAGCGACGTAAAGCGGACATCGTTGAACGGCTGGCTAATCGCCCGCCCGACCAGCAACTCCGACAACGTGGCGCGTGGCACGTGGCGCGGTGGTGAAGCATCGTGCGAGGCGCGTGGCCGCGAGGTGCGAGGCCGCGAGGCTACAAAGCTTCGAGGCTGCCCTGGACACAAAAAAACGAGCACGGGAACCGAGTGCCGTGCATCGTTGAAGAAGAAATCGGGTACCACAAGACTTCAATTGCCTGGTGAGACCTTTCCTTTCTTCTTTTACAAGCAAAGAGCACTCTGCGATCTCCCTCACAGGACTGCAATTCGGCGTCGCTGTGTATCAATTCCCTCAACTGCGCGTGTCGTTAGAGTGGCACGTGGCACGTGGCGGCACGTGTTTGTGCCGGCCAACCAACCAACCAAGGCGAATACGAAGCCAGCGGACAAGAGGAAACAGAGAAAAGTGAGCATCCTTTCTTATTCCTTCCTTTCCGTATTTTTTCTGGTTTAGTATTCCCATTAATTTACTAGTAAAAATGTCTAGTGATGAGGCTAACGAAAAGCCAACTCCTTTAGAGAGTCAAGAACTAAGGGAGTTAAAAAGGAAGCGAAAATCCTATAGAGGAAAACTTACTATGTACTGCAATTTTGTAAAGAAATTTAGAGAAATTAACGTAGAAAAATTATCTGCCTCTCAAATATTAGATTTACAACTAAGAACCGAAGCTGTAGGGTCTATATACAATATTTTAGATACTATACAAGAAAGAATCGATGTATTGTGTACCGATATAGACGAGCAATTAGCAGACCGTCAAAAATATGATGATGCCTATTTTGAAAATGTAGCTCATGCTAAATTAATGATAAATTCCAAGCAATCCGGACATGCCCCCAACCAAGTACAAGTTGTAAATGTTCAAAATAAACCAGAGACACAGGACATAATTAGATATCCTGAAATTTCATTACCACATTTAGCGGAGGAATGAACGATTGGTTGGAATTTAGAGAAACCTTTGATTCACTAATTAACCAAAGTCAAATGAATAGTATTCAAAAATACAAATATCTACGAAGCTGCTTACAAGGTGGCGCTCTGGAGGTAGTCAGCTCACTCGAATTCACAAGCGAGAATTACTCCTTGGCTTGGAATCTACTCTGTGAGAGGTACAACAACCCACGTTTATTAATAAATAAGCATCTGAAAGGGCTATTCAATATGGAAACAATTTCATTTCAAGCTAGCTCTTTGAGGTCTGTCATAGATAATATATCCAAACATTTACGATCTCTAAAGTCACTTTCGGTACCTGTTAGTGAATGGGACTTAGTAATTATACATTTTATTAGTTCCAAATTACCACTTTCCATACAAAGAAAGTGGGAAGAGCGGATTAGCTCGAAGGAATTGCCTTCGTTGCAGGAATTTAAGGATTTTCTCCGTTCTCGAGCTGACCTGCTAGAAGTGTCACACTCAGACGAAGTAAGTTCTGACAGTCGCGACAAAAGGTCTTTGGTGGCCACGTCCTCCTCCGTCACTCCGAGACCAGATAAGCAAAATTTACATCAATGTCCACAGTGCAAGGGTAAGCATTATATTAATCAGTGCCCAGGATTTTTAAGCCTGAGTCCAGTGATGCGCATCCGCGCCGTCAAAAGGTCAAAGCTCTGCCTCAACTGCCTGAGCCCTAACCATGCAGTGATAAACTGTCGCTCATCAACGTGTAGGCAATGTCAAGGTAAGCATAATACACTTCTCCACATACCTACCGAAGGTTCACAACACCAGCAAACATTTCAAGCACATCCAACAACGCTACTAAACTCGCATTTGGCGCATACAAACCAACAAACTAACCATACCGAGAACAAAACGCAGCGATCGGCACAACCGAGTACAAGCACATCAAACAGTGCGCGGTTTATTGCTACCGGACCAGCGACACTTACGAATACGGTGACTTCACATGTCGTACACAACAAAACTATTTTTCTCTCCACCGCTCGTGTCTATGTTTTTAACAATAAAAATAAACGTCACACTTTACGAATTCTTTTTCTTTTACTTTACGAAATTTTGTCAAACATAATTCGAGTGATCTGGCGGCTTCCTGTTCATCACAAGGTATTGAGTGGAAATTTATTCCTGTTTATTCACCCCATATGGGTGGTATTTGGGAAGCAGCCGTCAAAAGTGTTAAGTTTCACTTAAAAGGACATTAAATCAAAGTTTGTTAACGTATGAGGAGTTCGCAACTCTTTTAATAGAAATTGAGGGAATACTAAACAGTCGACCCCTCTGCCCCCTCCCTACTTCCGACACAGACATAATCCAAGTCCTTACCCCTGCTCACTTCCTCATTGGAAGACCGATTACTTCTCTGCCAGACTTCGAATACAAAGACATACCAATGACGAGATTGAAACACTTTCAACAACTCCAACAGATGTACCAGGGATTCTGGAGAAGATGGTCACGTGACTACGTGGGGCTCCTTCAGCAGCGAAGCAAATGGCGAAGCTCCAAAGGACCCAGTCTGGCTGTCGGCACGATCGTCCTAGTCAAAGACGATCGCCTCCCTCCCTGTCTTTGGGCGCTGGCGAGGATCATCGCAGTACACCCGGGCCCTGACAACACTGTTCGTGTCGCAACGATGAAGACGTCAAAGGGAGCCATCATCAAGCGTAGTTTCAACTCGATTTGTCCTTTACCAACGGACTGTAATTAGTGTCTAGTTTATAGGAACCTAATACTAGTATATAGGTAGTCATCATTAAGCATATCCTAATTAAGTTTCAATATGTTATTTAAGTACATAAGTTTACTTTACATTTCTTGCAAATAAATATTGGTTTCAAAGTAGGGATCAAGTTTAGGTAGGTAATAAAATGAAGCCTTTCTTATTGTTCAAACTTAGCTTAGGGGTGTTTCACTCATTTGATTTATTCAAATTTCATTCATTTAGATATGCCCAGGTCATGGACAAACTGTTTAGAAAGCTCGGCAGTTTCTTTGTGACAGGGTAAATATTTAGGTAGGTAAATTACCAAAGAGTAATTTAAATTTGTAATTTGGTTTTGAAATGGTAATATTAGTTTACCTATTTACTTTCTTCAATTTGAAATTACCATTTCAAGGCCGGAGCATGTTCAGATGACAGCGCCATCTATCTCATACCATGTACAACAAACTAGCGACATCTAGATCGCCCGTACTGTAACTAGGAAGTAACCTAACCATTGTATCGATCACAGAGTGTGTTAGTTATAGAACCTAAGCAATTAGTTCCATTGTAATACCGCTGAGGGCGCTGTACGAGACTATAAATATGAAAAGCCTTGCCAAGGCTCGTCCATTTTGATCGATTGCACAACAATAAAACATATATTCCAAGAGATCGCAGTCTTTGCTGTAACAACAGCTTTTAAATTGGTGTTTATTCCTTTCGGTTTTTTATATATAATCTCCTTTCCTGAAAAAAAACTAGGCCCATTTACCCATACTATTTTGTCCTTTGATTCAGCACAAGAAGCATAATGCGCAGGGTTATTATCAGTACTCACATGTTACCATTGACGCGGGTTCATTGAAGTTAATATTTCCGAAACCCTATTGGCAACAAATACCTTCCAGCGACTAGGTAAGCTGTTGAGCCAAGCCAACACAATTGTTTAGTCAGTCCAGGCGCGCAACTGAATATATTCAATCTTCATGATATTAGCCACATCCACCACCAATCGTGTACGCTCCACAGCACCACAAAGCTCTAATCGAGGAATCGAAACCTGCTTTATGGGTGCTACCTTAGATTTTGCTGCTACCAATGCCATCTTAACGTTACCAGCCAAGTCAGTCGTACGTATGTAAACAACCGCCCCATATGCCATTTTTGAGGCATCGCAGAACCCATGCAACTCTCTTTGGACATCAACTGATTGAGTACCTAACCACCTAGGAATCTTAAAATCTTTCATATTCCGTAGATCGTTTCGGAACTGACACCACTTCTGTAAAATTTCTTTTGATGCTTCTTCGTCCCAGACAATACCAGCAATCCAGAGCTTTTGTATCATAGCTTTTGCAACGATGATGCATGGCGTAATCCAGTCAAGTGGGTCGAATAAGCGCGATATATCTACAACAATTTTCCTTTTGGTGATAGGTGGTTGCAGTTCTGGAAGAGTGATTTTATACTGAAAATTATCTGCCTTTCTTTCCCAAGTCAGTACAAGAATTTTTGTCACTTCATCCATCCTTAGATTTATCTCATCTTTTACTCCTTGCTTCTCATTTTCCTTTTTGCCCTTTTCCTCATTTTCCCTAAAGTGTTCCATCAATTTCTCATCACTACTTGCCTATTTCTGTAATTCAAACCATCCTTCTTGCAACAATCCTTTCATCTGTTTATAAATCTCTATTCCTTCCTTTATTGTTTCGCATCCACACATCAAATCATCCATAGAAAAGCTTGTAGAAACCTTATCAGCAGCTAAAGGATACTTCTGACCTTCATCAGTTGCGACTTGTTGAAGTGTTCGTACTGCCAAAAACGGAGCAGACGCCGTACCAAAGGTGATTCGAAGAAGTTTAAAATCTCTGACTTCTTTACTCTCGAAGTCCATCCACAATAGCCTTTGGAAATCGGTATCTTCTTCATTTAGCTTAATTTGGCGGTTACTTTTTAACAATGTCCGCTGTTAAACAAATTTTAGTCATTCTCCACCGTAAAACTAAATGACGCAAATCCGGTTGTATTGTGGGTCCTACAAGCAGTTCATCGTTAAGTGATACTCTATTTTTACCAGCTTGGGAGGCGTTGAAGACGATTCTCAACTTGGTTGTTTCTTTATTCTCTCGAATTACAGGATGATGAGCGAGATAAAGTGACTTTCTTTTTTAGTATCTGTTTCCTCAATTTCAACCATATGTTCCATCTCCAAATATTCTTCCATCACCGCTTTGTACTCCGCTTTTAATTGTTCATCCTTCTCGAGTCTTTTAACTAAACCTTTTAATCTTTGCTCTGCTATTGATCTCGAATCTCCTTTTGTACAAATAGGGTTATCAGTTTTAAATGGCAGTTTCACCACATACCTTCCTGTTTCATCTCTTATTGTAGTTTCCTCATAGTACTTTTCGCATTTTCTCTCCTCCTCTGTATAACCTTTTTCTTTAGTTAATCCTATTCCATTTTCTATTTCCCAAAATTTTTTCAAAATTTCGTCGCTTTCCTTTAATAGACAATGTAATGCCAATACCCCCGTGTCACTACAACCCAATATCTGAATAGCACCAGACAAGATCCAGCCAAGGCTTGTGGCTTGAGCAACGATTGAACCACTAGGTACTTTGCGAATCCCTTCCTGAAGAATTTGACTATAAATTTCTGCGCCTAATAATAAATCAATTCTATTAGGCCGATTATACTCAGGATCTGCAAAGTCAATTCCTTCAAATTCTGAAAACGCCAATTTCTCAACTTTCCTCCCCGGAAGGAAAGAGGTAATTGATTTCAGAACATATGCCTGTATCGTAAATACCGCATTTGCTTCAATCCTGGATTTAACTTTTAGAGTGACTAATGCTTTGGAAATTATTTCTTGGTTATTACCAACTCCAGTTATAGTACCTCGAATATATTTTCTTTTCAACTTTAAACTCTGGACAGTTGCTTCTGTCACAAAATTACCCTGAGAGCCCTGATCCAATAGAGCTCTCAAAACAAGTCCTTGGCCATTATCACCGTCGGCATTGACCAATGCTGTGGCCAACAACACTTGGTTTTTACCACCAGAAAAATTACAGGCTACAAAAGCTGAAGAATTATCTATACTTGCCTCTATAATAGGCCCTGACCCTGATTCCTCAGACGATCCTTCTGGTTTAACCTGCACAACATCAGCAGTAACTCGCGCCCTTCCGATTCCCTTTGGATGAAGGAGTGTGTGATGACGACGATGACACAAACTGCATTGGAAATTAACCTTACACGCTTTCACCCCATGATTGGCTCCTAAACAATTATAACATAAACTATTAGACTGAACAAAATCTCGACGTTGGTCAACAGTTTGGCTTGCAAAGAACAATGGCAGACTTTCATACATAAAATTAGTTGAGAAGAAATAGTAGCGTCTATATACCAAAAATATCTTAAAATGTTAAGCCTCAGCCGCTTAATAACTCTGTCAAATAATTTTGCACTGAGAAGGCGTCAAAAAAAAGATATTTACATTTGAACTTTTTAGGTTATGTCTTATGTCACTTGGAAAAAGTCACGCTTCCTGTGGTTGTTTGATGTTAGCTTAATACATAATTGAGAGTTTTTAGATTATTGTATCTCTATTATATATTTGCATACTATAAATGTATATTTCTGGCATGGTTCCAGGTATTTTGTATCATAGTGACATTCTCAGAAGGGCTAGAACCCAGAGCCGTAAAGCCAGTAAAAAAAAACAGTGACATTTTATATTAGCTAGTGTTGGCATAACATTAAATGGAATTGTTACATAGTACTATGATTGAGATAATGTATTATTGTAGGAAATTCTTTGTAAGAGACTTATTCTCAGCGATATCACTTTTATTTTTATTATTACTGATAGTACAGTTATTACTAATAATAACTTAATATAAAAATATTTTGTGTGTTATGTTGGTAGTCTTACAAAGTGTATACGAAAATAGTATAAATATACTAAATGGCAACATTTGAATAGAGTAATATGATTTAAGTCATTTGATATTCCCAAAAATGTTTGTATTTTTCTGTGGCTTCAATTAAAATACATTTTTATTTGAAAAATCATAGAAAAATAATAAAACTCATTTTATATATAACTTATTTCTAGACGCTATAATTTTTGTCAACTATTTTTCTGCCATTGCTCTTTCTTACAAGCACTCAATTTGTGTGCATCGGAACAAAATAGACATTGGATCTTCGTTACATGACGAGCTTTAAATTTAACAACATTATTATTATTATAAGTACTTGGTTGGTACTTATTTAATACTACCTTAGTATCTAACAATTCAAGTGCTCGATATCTATTAGTAAGAAACTCCTAAAATTATTTGAATGTTAGTTCCTCAGATTGAGTATTATCAGTAACATTGAAATCCCATTGCTTTCTAGATTCAGGATCTAACTTCAAACATAGAATATGTATTATAATTATGTCCCAATTATCCGTTTTGATACCTAGATTTTTTAAACCATTTAGGCAATCATTGGTGGTATCGATTAATTCTTTTAAACTACTCGAAGATTCTACTGTTAAAATTTTCTGGCTCAATAAACGTTTCAAAATAAAATGAGATAAATATCTTTTATTGTCATAACGAGATTTCAATTGTTCCCAGCACCAATCATAGTTTGACTTTGCAACTGGGATTTGTCTGAGAAGTTGTTCTGCTTCTCTAGATAAAGAACTCTTTAAATAGTGCAGTTTTTGCACTTTGTCAAGTATTGAATTCTTATGGATCATGGACAAAAACAAATCTCTAAAGATGATCCATTCGCTATATTTACCTGAAAAACTGGGAATTATTATCTTTGGCAATTTAAAAGTTTCTGAATTTTTGTCTTCTGATTACTTACTAGGTTGACCACTTGGAGAACTATCAGACAATGCCTCAATTTTAGCGTTTAATTCCGTTTTATAATCTTTATACGCTTCTTCTGTTTGTCCATAAAATATTTTTCACAGTACTCATGTTCTTTTAATTTAGATTTATAATTTTTTACTAATGATTTGTGTGCTTGAGTAAATTCTATCCATAGCACTTCTAACGATTCTAATCTGGTCTGACAATAAACTGTTGTTATACGGTCCTTTGGAGACTTCCTAAAATTGTTTCTAGCCTTGGCAAGTTTTTCATAAATATCAACTTGTACGTATATTTCAGATTCCATTATTGTAAATTAATAAATTTAAAAGGCCAATAAGCTTAAAATTTTTCAAAAGAAATATAAACTAAAGTAATTTATCAGCTCAAGGCAGTACAAAAACACTACAGCTGTTTAAAAGCTTGCTAAAATTTTGTGTAAAGCAATCAGTTCCTTAAGCCAAATATTACAAATTCCATCAATTACGAAAGTTTTTCTAAGTCTTAATTTCACAGAAAAATTTCTAAGTGTTTTAAAAACATAACAACTTTGACAAAAATCGGGCATAGGTTCCCCGTCTCAACCAAATATTCTTAAAATCTAACTAAGTTAATGTAAACTATCTAAGTCCCAAATAGCTAAAAATTTTATAAGTCAGCAAAATAGCAAGAATTTTTTTAAGTCCACAATTTCTCACTGCAGTATCTTTACTAATCTTCCAAGTAAATATTCTTTAGAATTTAAGATTTAATTTCCTTTAACTTTCAAACAGAAAATGTTCAAACACTCACTACTGTTGCCCCGCTCACTAACTTGTGACGTCAACTTCGTTTATCGTCCTTGTCTCACACCAGCTCGACCCTGGCTCCTGATAGTTCCTCCTAATGGTACTCATCAGCCGAGATTGTCCCGAAATCCAAAGCCGGATTCACCACCAAGCTCGGACCCCTGCTGCAACAGCTCCGACTCCTGAAGCTGGAAACTCCTCTTCCAGGGTACCTCCCTTAATGCTCCAAAAAATTTGCCACCGCTGAGACGACTTCCGGAAAGGGGATGAGCTTATCCCAGATCCGGCTCGAATGGACCATGTTTAACTCCCAGTAGGTGACTAGGTCGAATTCGAGGATGTGTTACAAGGGAAGTCAATAAAAAGGCAACCTTGTACACCAACGGTTTATTCCAAAAGGTATTTACATAGTACACTGATATATGCAGCTTATAACAAACTTTATTAGCGCGACAGAACTATGTGCAACGCCATCTATCGAAAAATTTACGAACTATAATGTGGTTTGAGTCTGAGACTGTACAGCACACATTCATAATCCAATTATAACCTCAAACACACACATGAAATCTTTGCATCGCACGCATAATCTTACTTTATTAATTGAAAATAACAATACCTACAACCGCGTGAAGAAATTGACTAGTGGAAAAACTGATCCACTAGACCTTTGCATTTTACTAAATGTACTTATCTATACCGCAACATGTAAGTTAAGTACTGTACTAATTACTGTGAAAAGAATTAAATCATAAATAATGGTCGAATTGGCGACGTCGATGGATAACGTAGCTGAGCGAGCGGCATCACTCGGTGAGAGAAAAAATTAAACAGCATGAATGATATCTGTATCTCACCAACACAATACGCGTAAAATTTAAAACTTTGATATTAACTATTTAGTCCGAGTTTGGTGAAAAAATATGAAATGTCAAAGCTAAAATATTTAAATGTAGTAACAGCCACAGTAATAGCTTACAGATGTACTCATTTTGCTGTTATAATTATTGGGACGTACATAATCGGGACATTTGGCGTCCCGATCAAGGGTGAATGGGACGTGTCATAAAACCCCTGAAAATCGGGACGTCCCGCGCAAATCGGGACACCTGGCAACATTAATGTGTATAATATTTGCTAGAGCCTTTGTATGAAGTAACTACCTATCATTGGCCGTTTTATAATTTCGTCAAAAAGAATTAGTCATTCGCCTTCGAGATTAATTTAAGGGTGATCCACATAATGGCGGGTAAAATTTTAAATTATTAAATTCTTTTATCTTAATT